CAACAATGTGTTTACCAAGGAGTTGGCCAAACATCTGCTCAGCCCAGCAGCTTGAGTCAAGATTCCATCAAGATCTGACGTCTCAGGCAGCACTCTCCAGAAAGCTGAAGAAACCCTTTGCAAGTGGGAGTCGTTTTTTTTTTAATGTTTTTACTGATTTCAGAGAGGATGAGTGAGAATCTTCAATTGGTTGCCTTCTGCCCGCCCCCTATTGGGAATCAAGCCCAAAACCCGGGCATGTACCTTGGCTGGGAATTGGACCATGACCTCCTGGTTCATGGATCAATGCTCACCCACCAAGCCACACCAATCAGGCAAGGGAGTCATTTTTAAAGGAGACCCAAAGTAAGTGTTGCAGTAGCCTTTGATTATCCTATTTTCTTTGAACTTGGAGGGGAGCATTCCTCCTGTCTCTGCTTTTTAAAAAAGTTTCAATTTGAGGTTCATCCACACTGAAGCTTTTCAAGTCACCTGGCCACCAAGATTGAGTTGATGGTGTAGACTCACTGCAGTGGAGTATGGCTTCCATCCAAGTCATGGTCTTCACCCTGCCACCTTTGAGGTTATCGGGGACCCTACCTGTGCTACTGGTTCCGTTGGAGGGTGGGAGGTGGGCACAGGACTCCTGGGTGGTTATAGCTAGTGAGCTCCCTTGTCAGTGTTGACAGCTTTGATGCATGCATTAACATGTCAGACGTTGAGAATTTTAAAACATCTTAATGAACTATTTCCTAAGTCATTGCCCACAGTAGTGTAGTAAATAAAGTGTGATGTCTTACTAAAGCACAGACTACGCACACTTGCCTTTATCCTAAGAATCTTGTAAAGCCCCTCTGATCTTCACATGATGGCACACGGGACGTTTTGTGTGGACATGGGGAAACGGAGGGGCCCAGAGTGGGTGGGTGGGGAAGTTCCAGATCACCGAGTGTGCCAAGGTGTGCAGAGCTGCCTGTGTCTTCACAACTGTGTTCTTGGGGAACTGGACATTTTAAAATGTAGACTTGAAACTCATCACCTATGGGGCATCCAGAGAAGAGGGTGGCCATGATAAAGCACCCCATGCAAGACTGCTGGGCTGCAGAAACCAAGTGTTTCTGGCCTGGCCAGTGTAGCTCAGTGGTTGAGCATTGACCTATGAACCAGGAAGTCATGGTTCAATTCCGCTCAGGGCACATGCCCAGGTTGCACCTCAATCCCCAGTCAGGGCCATGCAAGAGGCAGCCCATGAGTGATTCTCATCATTGATGTTTCCTCTCAAATCAATAAAAATGTATTTTAAAAAATGAAATTATAAATGGTATCTCAAGTGGGCAGAGACCCTTGAAAAGCATTTAGTCTACACCCCATTCCTTGCTTGGATCTCTTCTACAATAGCCACAAGAAGTTGTTGAATGCTTTCAGGGATGGGGAAGTCACTACCACCTTTCTTTGAAAAAGCATGAAGTGTGAGAAAACCAAACCAGCCTCCACTCTACTTCTCTCCGTTGCACCAAGTTAATCTTCAGAAGTGACTATTATAATTAGAACACAGGTGCTTATTTTTCATGGGCACTGAAACCCTTTTGCCACCCTGGGGTCCTACCGCAAGACAGATTTCAAATGTCCATCTTGAGGCAACTTGCCGAGAATGTACATGATGCTCCTGTTCTCCATGCAGCAGGAGCATGTTGTACAAATAGCCCCAAACTGGAGTCCTGGGTTTTGAGGCTCACTGGTTTCAGGTATAAGCAGCCCAACCCATAACAGCCCTCTATTCCCCAGGTCCATTGACTAAGATCATCTTGAAATTAAGGTGGCTTTTAAAAGCTCCCATTCTCTGGCACTTTTCATAAATAGAGTTGCCTCAAACTTCTCAAGCACTCTGCTTCAGTAAAACGAAGGCCCTGAAGAACAAGGCTTTCATTCTGTAGCTGATGGTCAGCAGAGTGTACCAGCTTTCCTCGTGCATGTGCCCTAATGAACCCCTGGATGATAACCTTGCCCCAAAGCCCATAAGCTTCTTAGCTGAACATCCCCACCCCCACAAGCCAGGGCTGGGGTTGGTGGCAGGAGAGGAAACACAGGGCATGTTAGCTTCATCTCACAGGATGGCCAACTCCAGAGAAACAAGTATTGCTAGAGCCCATGGTGGCCAGAATTCACAGACCAGTAAATTTCCAAAAGAATTGTAGGAGAAGGAGAGCAACTTTAAAAGTTTTTATCCTCACCTGAGGATGTTATTTGATTTGAGAAAGAAGGAGGGAGAAAGAGAGAGACAATCAGTTGCCTCCCGTACTCACCCTGATCAGGGATCAAACCTGCAACCTAGGTATGTGCCCTGGGCAGAAATCAAACCCAAAACCTCTTGGTGTACTGGACAGTGCTTCATCCAAATGAACCACCTGGCCAGGGCAGGTTGGCAACTCTTCTCTACTATTTTAAAGTTCATAAATAATAGAAAATGCAATACTAATGACAGGCAAATCAGTGTTTTCCTGGGTTGTGGGGAGAGGGGTAGCAGAGGAGGTTGGTGGAGGAGTTGACTAAAATGGGGGCCAGGGAACTTTGGGGTGATGGAAGTGTTCTGTGTCTTGATCATAGTGACGAACTCATCAGACTGTATATTGAAAATGAGTAAATTTTGTTGTATGTCAAGTATACCTCAATAAAAAAGGGGGAAGAAACACAATATTTTAATAACAAAAATTGGGAACCTGCCCTGGCCAATGTGCTCAGTGGTTAGAGTGTCGGTCCACACACTGAAGGGTCACGGGTTTGATTCCTGGTCAAGGGTATGTACCTAGGTTGCGCGTTTGGGAGGCAAGCAATTGATGTGCAATGTGTCTCTTATCCCGCTCCCTTTCCCTCTCCTTGTCCTCTCCCCTTTCACTCTAAAAATCAATGGAAAAGTATTCTCAGGTGAGGATTAATAGAAAAAAAAGTTGATAACCTTGCAAGGAAGGTTTGCCAGTTTGATTCCACTCGGGGCATATGCCCAGGTTTCAGGTTTGGTTACCAGTCAGGGGTGCACACAGGAGGCAACCGATTGATGTTTCTCTCTCATATTGATATTTCTCTCCCTCTCTCTAAAATCAATAAAAATATATATTTTTAAAAAGTCATAATTAATATAATCAGTTGGTCAAATAATGTTTTTCTAATTTTATCATTTGTTTTCCATTTATTAGCTGACATTCCTCTATTTAAAAAGAAGTTTTCTCCCTTAGAAATTAAAAAAAAAAAAAGGTTCCGCCCTAACCGGTTTGGCTCAGTGGATAGAGCGTCGGCCTGCGGACTGAAGGGTCCCAGGTTCTATCCCAGGCAGGGGCATGTACCTTGGTTGCAGGCACATCCCCAGTAGGGGGTGTGCAGGAGGCAGCTGATCGATGTCTCTCTCTCATCAATGTTTCTAACCCTCTATCCCTCTCCCTTCCTCTCTGTAAAAAAATCAATAAAACATTTTTTTTTAAAAAAAAAGTTTCCCCCAAGTTTATTGCCAGCTATTACACTGTTGCAATCCAATGGCTCATTGATTCACTCAAAGAATATTAAGGTCCCTATTCTAAATGCTGGAGATAGGATAAGTAAAAACATTTTAAAAAGCTCTAAACTCTTGGAACTTATATTCTAATAATGAAGTGTAGGGGGCCAGACAATAAACAAGATTAAGAAAGTAAATTCTCCTGTATGTTAGATGACAATGATTGATATGGAGAGGAGGATAAAAGATTTGGGAAAGGGTATAAAATAGGATGTAAATGAATAGGGTGACATTAAAGTGAAGACCCAAAGGAATGAAGGGCTATCGGTGGGAAGAGTGGGTGTTCCAGAAGAGGGAACAGTGAGTGAAAGGCCCTGCGGCAGGTTTGAAGAAAAGCAAAGAGGCCAGTGGATGAGCTGAGTGGGTGAGACGGTGAGAAATAATGTCTGACAGCAGGAAAGCCAGGTCCTGCAGGACCTTGCAGAAATTATCACCTTAGGCAGGAAGCCACTGGCATGTTTTGATAGATGCTCACACCCCAAACAAGCTTTCTGCATATACTCCCTTCATTCCCAGACACCAGGTAAAGTCCAGCATATGAGTAAATGGATTAGTGGCCATGTCGTGCCATCCATTCACTCCCTGGGTGTTCTTGGGAGCAGCTGTTCTGGGAACTGGGATCCAAAGGTGGAAATGCAGCGGCTTGAGTGCCTGCCCTGGTAAAGCCTAGAGCAAGTGTCACGTGCACTGTGCCTCTAACCTAGTCCTGGAGGATGTGGAAGGTTCCCCTGAGGAAGGGGCTCTTGAGCTGGAATCTGAAGAGGGACTGAGTCAGGGAGGTGAAGAGAGGAGAGAATTGTTCCGGCACAGAGAGCAGTAGGACTGGGGTTCAGGACCATGCAGAGAGGTGGGAGAGTTTTAAAGATGTGTGCCTGTGTCCTGAGAGCAATTGGACATGGTAAGCAGGGGGGTGCAGAGCAGGGCTTGAAGGGTGGAGGTAGATGGTGCAGTCAGACACCGCAGGGAAGCAAGGTGGCTGCTGTGGACTCTGGGGGAGGCTCTGGGCCCAGAGAGCTGTGGACAGATTCCAGAGACACTGGGGACTCAGGAACTAGTCCATAGGACAACAGGCTGGAAGAGAGGGACCTGTCTAGTTTGGCTTGCCTAGCACAGGGGTTCATCTTGAGGTTGACATTTCTCCTTGACCTTATTGTTTATATCCCTGCCCCCAAGGTTGTATTAGCTATCTACTGAGTTTAATCAAGTGTGCTGAGCACTTGAAAATCCCCTGTCCTTTGCAGGGATAATCAGTCTATTTCCAGAACCCAAAGAGGGTTAGGATAAAAAGCCGCTTTCTTTGAGCCACTGTGCCTCCCTCCAGGCCCTCCCCACTTGAGTGGGGGTGGGGGAGCTCCTGCATCTGAGCCCCTCTGGATGGAGACCCTGGCCTAATGCCTAGAACTGCTGAAACGGCCAGTTCACCCATCTGGACACTAATCTGATTTTCACCCTGATCCTTACATGGGATTTGGCTTTGAGACACTGAGACCTGGGTGCTGGGCCCCACGCCAGATCCCCTACAAATTCCCCACACACGTCAGCCAGGGGCCTCTCTGGGGTCATCTGGTTAGACAGCGAGGGCTGGCTGCCACCCCGAGGGCACAGAGACCTTCTCCCCTGGGCCCAGCCACTGGTTGCACAAGGTATGTGACTGCCCTTGCACAAGCCTTCTCAGACACTTGGGGCAGGCACAGGGAAGGGCCAGGGTCAGGATGACAGGAGTCAGATTTTCATGGAATCAGCCTGTCCCCATGTCGCCTGTTCCATGTAGCTTCCGTGGCCTTTGCTTGTTGGGGAGACTTGGAAGGCATTGAGCTCCAGAAGCTAAGACGGCCTCTTCATGGTGCAGCTGGGCAGGAGGGAGGAGGAACAGGAAAGCACCACCACCTACAAGCGGCTGCACAGAACTTTGGGGGGATTCAGTGCATTTGAAAATGGTATTTGTGAAGGGGCTTTGTTGTGCTTTTCTGGAAACTTTTCTATTTTAATTGCCATAAGACGGAAAACCTTAGGACAGAAAACCTTCTCATTGGAAGCCAGCTAGACTTCCTGGAGAGGTCTACTAAGAGGTCTGCTGGCCCTAGCCAGTTTTGCTCAATGACTAAAGGGTCCTGGGATTGATTTCAGTCAAGGACACATGCCCAGGTTTCAAGCTCCATCCTAGTGTGGGGTGTGCAAGAGGCAGCCGATCAATGATTCTCTCTCAACATTAATGTTTCTATCTCTCTCTCCTTTCCTCTCTGAAATCAATAAAAATATTTTTTTTTAAAAGAAACGTTTGAGGCTTAGCAATAAAAATAAAAACACAGCTTTAAAAAGTAGCACACTGCCAGGCAACACAAATTAGACAAAGACCCTATTTATAAATCAAACATGGAGATTGAGGCAGTAGCAGGAAATGTCTGATGGATGTACAGCATCTCACAAGTAGGTTTTCTATCCAGAATGCTCTTGACTTTATATTCAGGATTGATTTTACCTTTCTCCAGCCCCCTAATACCCAACATACATCCCAAGGTGGAAGAAGCTGCCAGAGACAGATAATATGGCTGCCAACGTCAAGACCAGTAAGTCTACACCACACCATGTTATCTTCAAGAAGATCTCCCGGGACAAATCGGTAAGTGGCACAGAAGTGAGTGGCTTGTGGAAATGTTTGTTTGCTTATTTGTTTTTTAAAGGAGCCTTTTCAAGAATAGATATGATCTACATCAAGACCCTGTGAGGCCAAAGGAAGCTATGTCTATTTTCTATCTCTGCCTGAGATGGACGATGTGAGATATAAGTGAATAAGTGAATTGCAGAAACACAACTTCTCTTCAGTTGCAGCAATACTTTAGTCCTGAGACCCTTAATTTTTTTCTAATCACTCATTCTCCAACCAACCTCCAGTTTTACTTCTTTTCCTAACCCAACCCCCAATTTTATTTCTCTTCGTAGCCAGCCTTGATCCCATGACTTACCATTTCAAACACTGTTTTGCCAATCACTGTATTTGGCCTTTTGTCTATCACCTGCCCAGGGAAAGCCCTAATGCTGCTTTGACACAACTCTCTATTCCTGTGCACCTGCAATGCTCTCAACCTCGCTGGGCCTTCAGAACCACGGGGTAAGGGAACATGACGGGCCACTCCCTTTCCACCATGCTGCCCTGTGGCTGCGTGGCCACCAGTATCCCGGCAAACAGCATACTAGGCACAGATAACGCCACTGTTGGCTCCCTCAGAGGCACATTAGCTGGTCTAGTTGTGCCTATGAACCTCCTGGCAGGGGAGACCAGGGAAGGTCCACCCCAAAGCCTCTGTGGATGGGGTCTCCTTGCTCCATTCAATGGCTTCTTAGGGGCCAACGATCTCACTCAGCACCATCAATTTTAAATTTTCTAATAGCTGCACTGAAAAAGTAAGAAGAAACAGGTAGAATTCATTGTAATATTAAGTTTAATTAACCCAATATATCAACAAACTGTCATTTTAGCATAAAATGATATAAATATTATTGAAAACATATATGACATGCACTTTCTGGTGTGAAGTCTACATTTATAGCACATGTCCATTTGGAATGGCTGTATTATACCTATACGTCATCACCTGTAAATAGTACCTACCGTATTGGACAGTGTAGCTCTAGGTCCTTCTTCCAGTTGACTTCTGAAGCCTATATGAGGCCATCCAAAAAACTCTCTGATCTTTACGGTATTACACGAGGGAATTGGGCTTTGCACAGTCTCTCTCTAACCCTCCTCTCCTTGCTGAGGAACTCCATCATTTTCATCAAGTGCTCTGATTCTTTGGGGTGATACCTTGGGTGCTCCTCAACCTTTCACTCTTCAAACTCCTTTCCAACTTGTGTCTTTCCAGCATGCTTTACCTTGGCTTCTGGCAAAAGTAGAGAGAAACCACTCCTGCTGGGCCATATCATTTATCTACTCTTTTGTTCCTCACACCTAAATATGCATCCTTTGAACCTAGACATTTAGAATTTTTTGTAAATGTAAAAAATAATTTGTCAATTGATGTCTCACAGATTAGGATCACTCCAACTGCAACCTCTGTATGGGTCCCGGCATGGAGTGCCAGGGCTCAGGGGTCATTTCTCTGTGATTCTCTCCACTCGGCCCTCTTTCGTCATCTTCACCCTCCAGCTGGTGGCTGCCCCAGGTCCATGTGTCTCTCCCTCCCTTTCTTCCAAGAAAAGGAAGAGGCTGTTGCTTCCTGGGGTCTCTTTTTAAGAGTGAGGAAATAGGCCCTGGGCCTGTGTGACTCAGTTGGTTGGGCATGGTCCCCTGCACCCAGAGGTTGCTGGTTCCATTCCAGGTCAGGGCATGGGATGCAGGCTCGATTCTCAGTAAGGGACATGCAGGAGGCAGTCGATTGATGTTATGTTCTCACATCATGTTTCTCTCTCTCTCTCAAAAATCAATGAACTATTCTTTAGAAAAAGAAGAAAAAAGTGAGGCAATATTTTCCCAGCAGAATTCTGTCCTATATCATTGGTCAAAACTGGGCCACATTCCCTCCCTAAGCCAATCCTGAGCCGTAGAAATTGGATAATCATAATTGGATCCAGCCAGTCAAAAATCATCCCCTGGGGCTGGTCTCCTCTTAGCACAGGACCACATTGAGGATGGTGGACCCTGCCATAGTTGGTGACTTTCATCCAGGAAGAAGGAGCACGTGGCTATTGGATAGGCAAGCAGCAGGTTGGCTACAGTCTCACATTCAGTTCCACTTCTCTACCTGTCCCTGTCCTTTCCCTTCCCCTTCTGTTCCCACGGAAGAGGTGCCTTTGCTCCCCTCTGAGGTTCACATCACTCATACCCTGAGTCTCATGGTCCACCACCTCCTTAGAGTCCTCCATCATCAGCCTCCCTCCTGGGCTATATCTGCAGCCTCTCCTTCTCTACCAGGACTTTGCCTGAGCAGCAAAACAAGTATTGACCGTATGCACCTTAAAAACACCACCCACTCCCCTTGACGCTTGTTCCCTTTCTAGCTCGCTGACCTTCACAGCCAAAGCATGAAAACGAAGATAACTCCCACTCCTGTCACCAGACCTCTTCCCTCCCACTCACTCTTCAGTCCTCCCCTTCCTGACTATCTCAGCTGTCTAACTGGCCCTCTTTCCAAACCTGCCAGTTCATTCTCCATTTTGCTGCTGACGTGATCACAATCTGTATTCTCCTCTGTAAAACGGGGTTAATTCCCATCTCAGAGAGTTGTTGTGAGGATTAAATGAAATAATGTAGCCACAAGGCTTAGCTTGGTGCTTGGTACAAGATAACACTGTAGCCCTGGCCGGTTTGGCTCAGTGGATAGAGCGTCAGCCTGCAGACTCGGGTCCCAGGTTCGATTCCCATCAGGCGCATGTACCTTGGTTGCAGGCACATACCCAGTGGGGAGTGTACAGGAGGCAGCTGATCGATGTTTCTAACTCTGTTCCTCTCTCTTCCTCTCTGTAAAAACTCAATAAAATATATTTTAAAAACAAACAAAAAAAAGATAAACACTCTAAATGCTATTTAATTGCAGATTTTTCATCCAGCTACAAATGCTTCACTGTCTTCCTAGATTCTTTAGGGTCAGTTCTCCTAAGACCCTTTCTGGCATCATCAGTTTGCATCCACACTCCGTGACCATTCACCTGCAGATGAAAGCATCCTTTTGGCCGTCGGCTTTGTACACACAGTTGTTTTCCCAAAAAGCATCCCCCACCACCCAACCTCTCATCCCCCATCTGGTCACCTGGCCATGCTATTCTCAGGTGCTTTAACATCAATCACACAAATAACCTAAGACTTGGGGATTCACTCCAGGACATCTGATGGGAGAGGGTAGATCTAGGAGATGATTTAAAGCCAACAAAAATGATTTGGGAGTTTATGGAAATAAAAATATGAATTTAAGAGCCTTAGGGAAGAAGGAGGTTAGCCAGGGTGCACCCATTTACTGGTGCACTTAGCAAATGTTGATTGAATTCCTGTTACATAGCAGGTACTGTTGTAGGTACTATGATGGCTGAAGGACAGAATTCTTGCCATCGAGGCACTCAGTACCTCAAGTTAAAGTGGTGACTGGTGGTGAACCAACCTGTGCTCTCCCACAGGGGGCAATGGAAAAGAGACCTTTGCTGCCAGGGGCATGGAGGTGGACAGGATGAGGGCTGAGGCAATGATCCTCTCCCTTGCACCCAGCTCCACCCTCCCCTATCCCTCAGAGCACAGGTTCAGGTTTACCTGTAAGGAAGCTCACCTGGTAGGATTTCAGAGCCTTCTCCGAACTCCCGGCTCTTTGCTCAGACTAGAATTTCTTTTAACGAGGAGGGGAATCTTTTCGCTCACAGCAAGACATTAAAGGTTTAACATGCAAATGTGTGGGAGAAACCTCATTTGCATAGATGTAACTTTCTACTAAAGTATTATCAGTTAATTCAGCCAGTTGAACTGGTCGATATCAGACCTGGGCTTGATGGGTAAAGGTTGAGAGAACAGGGTGCATCCAAACGGGTGGGAAGGATTCCTCGGAGCAGATTTATGAGGCAGAGGGAAGCACACCCCTCGCCTTCAGTCCATCATCTCTGTCCATGGTCATACAGGGGGAGAGAGGGCTGAGAACCCAAGTGGCTCCTCTTCTCAAAACTCATTAAAAGGTTTGGTTCAATCTGATTTTTAAGATGAATGCCTTAGGTTACTGTACTTTGGCCATTTAGAATCCATACCTGTTCTTCCCACAGGTGACCATCTACCTGGGGAAGAGGGACTATATAGACCATGTTGACCAAGTAGAGCCTGTGGGTAAGTTGAGTTTAGAGTAAAATTTCCATGCTGATGTTCCTTTAAGTTATCAGACAACTACTTGTTTTGTATTTATAAAAATCAGCTTGCTAATAATCTAACCAAAGAAATGCAGATTAAAGCATCAGTGAGGTGCCACTGCCTGATTGGAAATAATTTTAAAGAATATGGAAGAGGAGGAAACCAAGATGGTGGCATAGGTAAACACCGGAAATTGCTGCCTCCCACAACAACTTCAAAAATACAACGAAAAGACAAAACGGACATCATCCAGAACTACCGGAAGGCTGGCTGAGTGGAAATTCTACAACTAGAAGGAAAGAGAAAAGCACATTTGAGACTCAGAGGAGCTGTGGAAGTAAAGTGCAGAGGCTGGTATCTGAGGACTCGGCTTTCTTTTTGAATCAAGAGGGAATCACAAGCTCCTGACTGCTCTGAACTCCAGTTCCGGGAAGTCTCTGGGGACCCAGGACTCATACAGGGAGAAACTGGACTGTCTGGCAGTGGGCAGAACTCAGAACTTG